AATGAGCATGGGGTGGGGCTGAAGACCGAAAGAAATAGTTACTAGGCTCAGATACCATCCTTCTGACAACAGAGCCAGAGTAGCATGCAATTTTTGAAGTTAAAAAGAATAAAAATAATACAAAACTCTCATTCACATAATCATTGGCTTAAAGTAGTCAGACTGCACTGAGAATATTTGTTGACTCATTCATATGCTCAACAAACTTCTTTTGTATCCAATCTATTATGCCCTGTACTTGGCAATGAGAATACGAGGCGTCTCAACTCTTCTAAGGTATGAGGTTAGAGGGCATGGAAACCACACTATTTGGGGACACACTTGTTTAGCCTGTGCTTAGAAATAATAAATCTAATTCTCAATAAAATAATAGGAAATCAAAACCAGCAACATGTAAATAGGATTACATATCATATCCAAGCAGACTTTATATCCCAGGAATACAAAGTTGGTTTAACATCTGAAATTAATGTTATATGCCATATTAATAGAATGAAGGACAAAACCCTTATGATCATCTCAATCAAGGCAAAGAAAAAGCCTCTGACAAAATCTAACATTTGCATGATAAAGATGCTCAAAACTAAGACTAGAAGGGAACTTCTTGATAAAGGGCATCTATGAAAAACCCACAGCTAACATGACACTTAATGTTGAAAGACTGATTGCTTTCCTCCCTAGATGAGGAACAAGACAAGAATATTCACTCTTGCCTCTTCTCCTCAACATTATACTGTATAAAAAGTGACGGCAATTAGACAAGGAAAAGAAAAGACATTCAGATGGAAAAGATGAAGTAAAAGTATCTCTGTTTGCACATGACCTTGTATATAATGTGTATAATATGATCTTGTATATAGCAATGCTGAAGGATCCACTAAAGAACTATTAGGACTAAAAAACTGAGTTCAGCAAATTTACAGGAGACAAGATCAATACATAAAAATCAATATATAAACCAATATATAAAAACCTATATTCTATCACTGGCAAGCAACATTCTGAAAATGAAATAAGAATGCAATTTCATTTTTAAATGAAATTTTAGTAGCTATTTTAATAGCACAAAATGATAAAAATACTGATAAGCAATATATTCAACAAAGGAATGATAAGACTTAATACACTGAAAACTAATAAACATTGTGGGAAAAAAATCAAAGATCTGAATTAAATGGAAAGACACTGTCCATTTCTATTCCTTGCCTTTATGGGTTGAGACACTTCATTGTTAACAATATCACTGAAATTAATCTACAAGTTCAACACAATCTTTATCATACTACACATAAAAACTAACTTAAAATGTATCACAGACCTAAACGCATGAGCGAAAATTATAAAACTTTTCAAAGAAAACATATGTGTAAATCTTGTTGTTGATTAGGCTATGGTTTCTGAGTAAGGAAACCAAAAATGCAAACAACAACAAAATAGATAAACTAGACAAAATAAAAAATTTTGGTTGCAAATCATAGGATCAGAAAAGTGAAAAGACAACTCTGAGAAGGGGAGAAAATCTTCGAATCATATTATCTGATAAGGGGTTTGTATCCAGTATACAAAGAACTCTTATAATGCAATAATAGGAAGTCAAACTGCTAATTAAAATTAGGCAAAAGATCTGAATAGACATTTCTCCAAAGAGGATATACAAATGGCCAATAAGCACACGAAAAGATGCACAAAGTCATTAATAATCAGGGAAATGCAAATCATAATCACAATGAAATACATTTCACACTTATCGGATAGCCATAATCAAAATATAATAACAAATGTTGATGAGGACGCAGAGAAACTGGAACCTTCATACACTGCTGGAGGCAATGGAAAATGGTACAGCCACTCTGCAAAACAAGTAGCTCCTTAAAACATAACATAAATGTAGAATTAACATATGACCCAGCAATTCCACTCCTAGAAATCCTGCTGTTACCCAAGAGAAATGAAAATATATTCAAGAAAAACTTTTACCTGAAGTTCATGGCAGTACCATTCAGAGACAAGAAGTAAAAATATTAATAACTGAAATGACCAACTGATGGATGGATAATACAGTGGAATATCATTAGGCAATACAAAACAAATGAAGCGCTGATACATGCTACACACGGCAGACCCTTGAAAACATCATGCTAAGTGAAAGAAGCCAGTCATGAAAGGCATGTTGTGTTGTATGATCCCACTTACATATATTTTTCCTACGGAGACAGAAAGTGGATTCGTGGTTAATTAGGTCTAGGAATGGAGGGTTGAGAAGGATGCCAATAGGGACTGATGGTTGCAGAACACTGTGAAAATACTGAAAAACGGTATGCTAATTATATGTCAATAAAGCTGTTTAAAAAAAATAGAAATAATGACTCTAATTGCATGTTTTCAGCAATAATTAATTATCACTGGTCTTCTTAGAACCCAGAGAAATAGATGCGATCCTAAACTGAAGGGCTCAAAAGGGCCTGAAATGGAAAATGAGAAGCACGCTAACCGGTGGCTCACAGAGCTGATTTTTACAAAAGACCATGTCTAGTAACAGCTGTAAACGATTGGACTCTGTGCTACTATTGACTCCTTAGACTCAGATTCTGTTAAGCATTTAACATGGCAATTATCTTCACCACTGTAACCCCCAGCAGCCACTCTAGACTGAAACACCTAGCACATAACTGAGATGACATGAACAAGTATCTTCACACCACTTGTGAAGCCAGTGGCAAACAGCTAACAAGGACTCAACGTGATACTTGGAAGAGTAGAGGGTTTGGTGTTTTCAGACTCAGAGAAGAACACCAACGTGAACACAAAACTTAGATATGGCAACCACATGTTCTGTTTCTGCTGCTTTTTTCATTTTCATTTGGAATCTGATGGCAAAACTTCAGGGAAATGGAGTGATAATAATACACTTAGAGGACCTAAGCGGGTTATCATGGGAAAATCGGCCTGCTTTTAACCATTAAAAAACTTCAATCATAGCAACCACCAGCCCTAAACCAACCAAACCAAGAAACCCTCTACTCACGATGTCTGGACTGGTCACTTCAATATATACAAGCTTTTAATCAACTAAACAGAGAACCTATTATTTAATAATAACACCATTCCATGAGATATTTCTTTGAAATATCTTTTATGGTCAAGCATAATTTTTTAAGTTACTTTTTGTCTTAATAAACTGCCCAATCTCTTGACATGATTAATCACTGTATTAGGAATTATAGCAATCTGGGTGTTTTTTGCTGTACTGGGTAAGAGCTGGGAGGGCTTCCAAGGGGGTACGGTAGTAAAGAATCCATCTGCCAATGCAGGAGACACAAGAGATATAGGTTCAATCCCTGGGTTGGGAAGATTCCCTGGAGAAGGAAATGGCAACCCAGTCCAGTATTCTTGCCCGGAAAAGCCCATGGACAGAGGAGCCTGGTGGGCTACCGTCCATGGGGTTGCAGACTATAACAGAACTGAGCACTCACACAACCCAAGAGGTTGCATTTTAGGATTCTACTCTGCATCTTAACATCATTTATGTAACATTCCTTGATTTTTATTAAAGCAAAATTCACTTTTTTACATATTAACCCTAACAATACTGTGTAGCTAAAAAACTAGATTCAGAGCAGTACTTTATATCTGTTGTACCAGGGTACTCATCTAATCCTATGTTTTGGCAGTGCAGAAATTTAAATATATAACTTTTTCTTGAAATAAGTCACTCTGCTTTAAAGTAAGACAAATGAGAGTCTTAATTGCACAAAATAGTTTATACTGAGATTAAGATCCTAATCAACACTCCCCTCCAAAACCCCCCCAAACACTATCAATATGAAGTCTCTTCTGTTCCGCTGCACTGTACAACCTTGTCATGAACAGTAAGGGAAGGTGTGATTTCTTCTGGACTCTGCTTTCTTTCCTTTGCAGAGGGGTTGGTTCTCCTGAGGCAAAACCTTATTATATTTCAGAGAGTGAAGTTCTGCAATCTAAACAAACCCAAGTGGGGTGAAGCTGGAATGGTGGAATCCTATCGAGTTAAGAGACATCCTGGAACTGATTAAAAACAAGAATCAAACAAACAAAAAAACTTCATCTGTGCCCTGTCATTTCCTTTCAGCAAGATCCTGTTGATGTTTACTCAATATGCAAAGTGCATCAAATATCTCAAGAAATAACTTAAACTCTCCCTCTGAGGATTTTTTTTTAAAATTCTTGATGGAAAAAAATGTCAAAACAGTATCTTTTAAACTTGTCTCATTGTCCAAGCACAAGTATCCCCATCAAAAGGTTGTTTGTCCCTACACTACTGGAGAAACGCCAGACATACGTACCTTCCTTCCTTTTTTTTTTTTTAAGAAAATGAAAAAAATGATACTTCAAACGGGGCAACAGAGCTCAGAAACATTACACACGTTTCCATAAAACTCGATAACTGAGTTCATGAAAAGTTTCCCCTGATTTTATAGCCTGTCTAATAAAAAAGTATCATTTAAAACAATTAAGCTTTTTTTCTGTTACTAAGTGTTCAACATTCTGCCTGGATAAGAGAGGGCAATCAGCACTCTACTCCAAAAAAACAAACCATAAATCAGTTGACAAGCTTGAAAGAATTCAGTTCTAGTCTGCTCAGAAGCCAAGTGTAAATACAGAGAAACCTGTTGGCGCGTTTATCTTGCTCTTTAAGTTTCGCGTTTTAAACACAAAGCAATACGCATATGGCGTTTCTCGTAAATTTCAGGCTCAGAAGTGATTCAGACCGACCCGAAAGCGAGGCATCTCCGACAGAAAATGGAGCCTGTGCCTTTAAGGTAAAATCGGCTGGATCCCAAAAGGCATTCCACTTTTCCACGACAAAGAGTTTGGGGGAGCGCTACCTCTCGGGTTTCTCGGAGGGACTCGGCCGGTGCGGCCAGAGTCCGGCTCGCCGCGGAGCCCTCGGCCGCCCCCGCTGCCCCGAGCGGGTCCCGCGCCCGCGCGGCGGGAGCGCATCGCGCGCGCCCCAGACTCACCGCTGCTGGGCTGCGGGGACAGCGTGGAGACCGAGGTCTGGCCCATGTCTCGGGTCGCAGGGCCAGCTCTGGCGATCACGCGGCTCTTTCGGTCCTAGGATCATGGGTCCGCTCGCAGACAGAGTTCCAAGCGTTCATTTCCCAGTCGGTGCGGAGCTGCCCGCCGAGTCCCCTCACCTTCTCCCCCTTCGCGGGTCTCCCAGTCCGGCCGGCCGCAGCCGGCGCGGCGGATCCTGCCCAGCGGATGCCTGTCATTCCTCTATGCAGATTAGCTGGGGTCAAGGGTCACGGGGGAGGAGAGAGGGGGAGTGGGCGACGGGGGCGGCGGAATGAGGGGGGCGAGGAAGTGGGGAGGGGAGAGGCTCGGGCTGGTCCGGCCACGCCTGCGGGGGCTGTGAGCCCCGCAACCCCCCCAACCCCCCAAGAGCAGAGAGTTCGGGCGACTCCCCATTAAACTTAAAAGGTTCACTGGCAAATGATCCTTTAGGGCTGGAAGAAAAGGAATTAAAGTACTTAGTCACGGTACTTAATTTAAGAAAATTTGTTTCTAGAAAGTTAGTTCCTTCCTCTCATTGTTTGCTGTTATGTGTGCATTTTTTTCCTCGTTTTAAAAATCTTCCTTTTAAAAAATAGAATTTTGCAGTATTAGTGGCCTCAATCAGGTTGAACAGTAAATCTGAATGATGGGTCTATGTGTCAGATCAACAAAGGATACACTTTGCCCTCTACCATCTAAACTCTGCGATGCTCACATCTCCTATATTCAAAAGAATCACTGTGAGACTATGAAACTGTGTGTTTAAAAGGTGAAGACCACAGTAATTTATTTTAGAAGCTAAAGTTCCATAAAAGTTAAACTCTATCCTACTGTAATTAAATCTTAACCTCTAACTTCTTAAAAATATAAATACAATACTCTTGGTATTTGATGAGAACTCCATGCCTTGTCTATCTCCATCTATAGATCGATAGCTAGATATAGATATGGCATTAGGGTGGTGGTTACAGAAATGTGATTCACTTTATGGAAATTCATTGAACCATATATTATGATTTGTACATTTTTATGAACCTATATATTTCATTAAAAAGTTTTTGAAGTGTATTTGTTTTTGAAGGGGTTGGGCTGCCAGGCTTATGGGATTTTAGCTCCTCTACTATAGATAAAATCTTGGACCCCCACCCCCACCCCCCATAGTGAGAGTGCCAAGCCCTAACCACTGGATCAGGAGGGGATTCCAAAAAAAGTGTATATTTTAATTTTTAACTGATTTTTATTGAAGTATAGTTGATTTACAATGTGTGAGTTTCTGCTGTACGGCAAGGTGAATCAGTTATACATATACACATACTCTTTTCCCACGTAGATCGTTATAGAGTATTGAGTACAGGTCCCTGAGATATGCAGTAGGTCCCCATTGGTTATCTCTTTTATATACAGTAGCGTGTATGTGTCAATCCCAATCTCCCAATTTATCCCTCCCCTTCCCTTAACAGTATATTTTATTAAAAACTATATTTAGGTCACTTGCCACAGCTTTCACATTTTAGGTTATCCCAGGCTGTCAACTCTGAACTATTAAAAATCTATATAGTATATAATTATTAGAGAAATGCAAATCAAAACTACAGTAAGATTAATATCACCTCACACAGGGCAGATTGGCCATCATTAAAACATTTACAAACAACAAGTGCTGGAGAGGGTATGGAGAAAAGAGAACTGTCCTACACTGTTGATGGTGGAATGCAAATTGGTATAGTCACTATGGAGAACAGGATGGAGGTTCCTTAAAAAACTAAACATAGAGCTACCATATGATCCTGCAATCCACTCCTGGGCATATATACAGAGAAAACCATAATTTGAAATGATCCATGCACCCTAATATTCACTGCAGCATTATTTACAGTAGCCAAGACATGGAAGTAATCTCAATGTCCATTAAAAGAGAAATACATAAAGAAGATGTGGCAGATATATACAATAGAATATTGCTCAGCCATAATAAACAGCAAAATAATGCCATTTGCAGCAACATGGAGGAGTTAGAGATTGTCATACAGAGTGAAGTTAAGTCAGAGAAAGACAAATATCACGATATTGATTATATGTGGAATCAAAAAAAATTATTGCTGGGAGGAGGGGAGAGGGAGTGGGAAAGAGAAAGATAAATTGGGATATTGGGACTGACATATATACACTACCATATATAAAATAGATAACTAAGAAGAACCTACTGTATAGCACAGGGAACTCTTCTTAATATTCTGTAATGACCTATATGGGAAAAGAATCTTAAAAAGAGTGGATATATGGATGGGTATAACTGATTCACTTTGCTGTTCAACAGAAACTAACACAACTTTGTAAATCAACTATATGCCAATAAAATTTTTTTCAAAATAAATCTGTACAGTATATTTTATAAAATAATAAATTAATGCTTTACACATGCAATTTTTTCCCTAAAGTTTGTCTTATTAAGATCACATAGAGCCTAGTTTTGTTTTTTGAAAGATGTTTGCTTGTCTGTTTCATTATTTAAATAAATTGCCCTATTTTTTTCATGCCCAAATAGCCCACCCTCTATTGTGGGGAAAACTCTTTCCCTAAAATAGTATGATCAATTATCTACTTCCTTTTTCCTAATTCACTCTTAAGAAACCCTGATATTTCTTTTGAATGGCTACAAAGACATTTTCAAATTATTTAAAATGTTGGCATTTATGTATTCACGTGTACACAGGAAACAATCACACAGAGTCTTCAGGTCACTGGTGTCTAATGTGGTTCATACGTGAACCTGCTAGAGACCCAGATGAGACCAGGCTTGGAGCACTGGGTTTTGAAAAACACCCTCCTAAGAATCTCAGAGAAGTAGGGTGACGAGGAAAGGGTCACTTCAGGGGTTTGGCTTAACCTCACTGCTCCGATCTCCACTTTGAGCTCCTTTCCCATCTTCACAGAGGGGGACCCATTTTCAGACTGTATCCCCACTGCATACAAACCCCGTCCCTAACATCTCGATGCAGCAAACACATCCAAGAATCACTGGACCAGGTCCTTATAAACATATTTATATCAGAGGGAAAAAAAAGGCACTTTGGGAGCGCTATGGTTCACTCTGCTACACATTCATCATTCTAGACCAAGCAAGAAATGGTTAGTTTCTCAAGTGAGTTAACTGAGTGAAGTTGGCACAATGACAAAATTGTTCCCTAGTCCTTCCGGGGCTTCCTTGGTGGCTAGCAAGGTAAAGCATCTGCCTGCAATGCAGGAGACTCGGGTCCGATCCCTGGGTTGGAAAGATCCCCTGCAGAAGGGAATGCAACCCACTCCAGTATTCTTGCCTAGAGAATCCCACGGACAGAGGAGCCTGGTGGGTTTCAGTCCATGGGGTCACAAAGAGTCGGACAGAACTGAGCGATTAACACAAACACAGCCCTTACAGAGAGGCACCAAACGAGGCACATCTCTGGGTGAGGCCCGGTGCCAGGCCGGCCGACCCTGGTGGAGCTCAAAGCCTGATGCCCCCAGGAAGCCTGACATCTTTCCTGAGCAAAAACACCCAGCCTAGAGGTGCTGCCTCCTCCCCAAAGCCCGAGGGCAGGTGAGGGGGGCTGCAGTGGTAGCCGGGCTGGGAGCAGAGCCAGGAGAGGTGGGTGGGAATGTGTAAGTAAGGTCACCAAAGCTTCAGAGACCTCGGTCCATCCGAACTGCCTCTGCCGAGCTGGCGGATCAATGCCATAAAGAAACCCTGAATTTTTTCTTTTCAATGAATTTGAGGATTAACCAAACTGTGAAGTTCTAATTAGGACAACGAAATTAATCCCAACTAAATTTCCTTATAAAGTGGAAAACTGTTGTGCTTTGGGAACACATTCTACCACGATGATTCGGCAGTGAGAGAAAACAATTATAAAGGCTCTTCTGTTTCTCCCTTGAAATCGCCTTAAAACAACAACCATAAAAAGGCAGATTGTGTGTTCTCTCAATCGAGGTTGAGAAGAGGAAGCTTCTCACTCCTTTTTCTATCGATAGGGCCTAACTGTTAGGGGAGGTCACTGATCAGAGACAGTATACAGGAAATTTTGCATATTAGAATATGTTGATGTTGTTCAGTCACTAAGTCGTGTCGGATTCTTTGTGACACCATAGACTGCAGCACGCCAGGCTCACCTGTCCTTCACTATCTCAGATTCATGTCTATCGAGTCGGTGATGCTAACCATTTCATCGTCTGCCACCCCCGTCTCCTTTGCCTCCAATCTTTCCCAGCATCAGGGTCTTTTCCAATGAGTTGGCTTGTCTGTTTGGTACATTTACATTATATGTAAATATAACGATTTTCTTTGAAATTGACAAAAGCCAAACTTTGAGATACAATGTTTTTTGCTAGCATTACTCCTCCTTGAGAAATAGTAATGTGTTTCCTTTTAGTTCTTCTGCAAATTTGTATTTCAAACATCAAAGGGGTACACTATAGCTCTGGTCTTTCAGGATTTGCTAAATCCATCTATATTTACTTTATTCAAAACCTTTCATGATTTGCTAGTTAATATAATCTTAGCCTCATCTGGGATTCTTATAATCCCTCGATCGGGTTACACACTTTCCTCTGAAATTTTTCCAGTTCCATTACATTATCCTTGAAGCATGTCAACCAAAACTGCAGGAAGTGTGCATTAAGATTTCTTTATAAGGGTGGGACAGTTTATTTTGTTTCCAGTGCTTCCGATGAGGCATGGTGTTTTAACATCCTTTTTATCACAGCTAACAAATTATATTAGTGAACATAGAAGAAGTCTACAGAAATCCCTAAATTTCATTTATAGGTCAAAATATAAAGGTTAGAATCTATCATCTAACAAGAGTATGTTAAGATAATCTTCCCCCAATTGCCTTTTTCTTGTTTTATTACAGCTCATCTGCTATTATTGAGCCAACTTACAATTTTACTAAGAGCTCTGGGTGTTATTTCCTTGAATTTATAGTTTAACTGTGCAAATGTTTAATGTCATCTGAAAAAAAATGGACATTTCTCTGTGTGTTACCTTTTTCCAGAGAATTTATAAAAGTGCTAAAGAAAATTAGTGCCGACATCTACCTCATAGGAAGCTATCTGTTCATAAATCTTCAGCTTTTATCCCATTGGTCCTGCTCTTTGGTCTATATTTCTAAACCAGTCTCTTATCCAGTGACATCCTGGTAAATGCTCAACAATTGGTTTGCTGTTTTTCTAT